TTCTTTCTTTCTTTCTTTCTTTCTTTCTTTCTTTCTTTCTTTCTTTCTTTCTTTGTTTATTTATTTATTTATTTATTTATTTATTTATTAAATTTCTCCCCGCCCATCTCCCCCCAGTGGGGGACTCAGGGCAGTTCACATAAAACATTAAAACCATAAATACATATAAATACATAAAACATAAAAATTTAAATAAAACATTACTAAAAAAGAAGAGGAGAATCCCAAAAGATGAAAGATCTGGGGCTGAAGACAGCAGGCCTCTATGGGCTAGCCATCCCCACGCTTGAAGTATTCCCTCCCCACCCCAGGCCAAGTGGCAGAACCAGGTCTTCAAAGCCCTCTGGAAGGCCAGGAGTGAAGGGGCCAATCTCACCACTGGGGACAGACTATTCCAAAGAGTGGGGGCTACTGCAGAGAAGGCCTGCCTTCTGGACCCTGCTAATCAGAGTTCTTTTACCGAGGGGGTCCGAAGCATGCCCTCTCTGTGTGATTGGGTGGGACAGGTTGAAGTCATGGGGAAGAGGTGGTCCCTTAGGTAACCTGGTGCCATGCCATGTAGGGCTTTAAAGGTGATAACAAACACCTTGAATTGGACCTGGAAGCATACTGGTACCCAATGCAGCTCACAGAGCAACGGCGTTACATGGGCCCTTCTTGGGGCTCCAAAAATAGCCCACGTGGCTGCATTCTGGACTAGCTGTAGTTTCCGGATACTCTTCAAGGGTAGCCCCATGTAGACTGCATCGCAGTAGTCTATCTGGGAGATAACAAGGTTACGAGTGACTGTTTGAAGGGCATCCTGATCCAGGAAAGGCATCACTTTTCATAAGTCCCTTACATTGAAAACACACTTAAGTACTGTCTTAGCAACTGCCCAACATACAGTGGGCATTATTCAGAAGTTTTTCTATGCTGAAGGGAGGGCAGCTGAACTTAAAATATTCCAGGACAAGGCGATAGCCCAGATGCTGTATGGGGCTGAGATCTGGGGGTGAGATGAGAATGTTATTGCCCATTTGGAAGAAGTCCAGGGAGATTTTGTAAGTACCCTGTTGAACAATGCCTCTGTCCTTGTGGTGTTGGTCAAGCGGAGGGCATTATTCATTATGTCCTCCACTGCCCCATTTACAGTGAGTTTAGGGCCAAATTATAGATGGTAAGTGAACTCAAGGGCTCAGATCTTGAACAATTAAACTGTCCTCTTGCAGACTTGTTCTCAACTGTTAGTCACGTTACTACCTTGCTCTGCTGTCATTTAAATTTAGAAAAAAGTACTCAAGTTCTTAGTTCTAGCTCTGGCTTTATCTTGTTTTAACCTTCTTACATATATACAATACTCTTTATTACTTCATTTTATAACCTTACTATGTTACTGTTATTTTGTATATTTTATGGTATAATGTATGTTATGACCTGTGGTTACAATAAACGTGCTACTGAAGCACATAATAAAGCAATGCTTAAAACAATAAAATATAAAACAATATAAAATGTAGTATAAAACATGTCATCTGGAGAGAGAATTATAGGAAATAGTTACCAAATGGCTGCCAAGTAGTCATCATTCACAAAGAACTGCTGTGGTGGGAGTGGCAAGGCATAACATACTCATTTCAGAGAAGGATAGGCTAGTGAGATTGAAAGACAACTAGCTTGGGCTAGAGATTGAAAACAAGACCAAGATAGAGACTGAGCTTCAAAACTATTATTTTTCTTTTAAATCACATTTTTCTGTTCTACCAGAAACCCATATGATAAAGGCAAAGTGGTGAGATATGTTACTTGCCTGAGAACCTAAACCTAAATCTTTTCCTTGAACCCATAATGGACATGCTCTCATTCAGGGCCACTTCTCCCAATACTAGGAAATGAGATCCACAAACACCAGTCACTCTGTTCTTTCTTTCAGGATTTTCTCCATCATGCATCCTGCAAAACACTCCTATCCCACGTTCTTTCTTACTGGGTTGTCCCATAAACCTCCCTAACCTCCCCTTGTGTTCTACAGCTCTTTTTCCATGACAGATCAGTCCATAGCCCATGGTACACAAATATCCATCTCCTAAGGTCTTGCTGATCCTTCTTCTGGTGGGTTGTTACCAGCCCAGCCCTGGTCTCTGAACTACTTCTACCCACTTTATAAAGTTAGTCCTAGCCCACTTTCGGGTTCTCTGCCATTATCTCCAAACCTTTACCTACAGTAATGATATCTTGCTTCCTTCTTTCCTTCTTTCATTACAAAAAACATTTTATAATGGTATGTTTCTTGCAATATGTTAAATTCTTTTTTATTCCAGATCAGAGTTGAGTCCAAGCTGATCTTAATAAATACACAGTCCACTTCTTGTGTCTGCCTCATCACAAATGAATACCACAAAATACTTGTGCTCCTTTTTAAAACAACATCATTTTAAATAATCACAAATATCAGCTAAATACTTTCTAAGAAACTGCTTCCTGTGGACACTCTATTTCTTACTGTATTGTCACTGAATATTAATAATAGTGAAATTAAACTTGTTTTCTAACCTGGTTACTCAAATGCAGAAAAGCACTAGTTTTGAATGGATTATTATGCATTTCTTTCTGAATACGTATTCATGAATATTTTGTACAACAGTTCTAATATTTTCATTTTAATATAAATTTCACAGTCTGCAAGCTGTTGATTTGACTTGGAAAGCTGAATTACTGCCAACAGTTAAGGTATTTATTTAGAACTTCAAAAACAATACTATATAAGTGAATTGGGTAGATTGGGTAGATCTGTGACTTAATATGAAGTGTATCATCTCAGACGTCAGTAAAATGTTTAGTTCTAATGTTATTATATATTATATAATTATATAATTAAATATAATTAAATAATCTTTAACCTGAATTTTTGAAAAGACTCAAGCATTATTGTTGTTTGTATTGCTTTTTAGATTGTGACTTTGAAACTTCAAGATTATCCATCTCTGACTCATATTGTGCTTCACATACCAGTTGTTGGTGGTAACAAGGTAAAATTCATTTTTTAAATTGAGTTTCCAGAAATGAAATGTGAATACCCTAAACGACCTTGCATGTTACTTCATGGTAAAATTACCATAGCAACAATCTTACTCTGACCTTTAGCAGATGCTGCAATAAATGTGGAGAGTTGATATATTTATAATGGACGAAGCCTTTGCTTGGATTCAGTTACAGTGGTGAAGGGTGCACCACTGGAAGACCCGAAAGTTGAGGACGGATCTGTATGATGGCACATAATCAGTCAAGCCTTTGGTTTTGTTTCTCTGGTATCTGGATTAAACACCCACAAAGTTCTAATTGACATATTTGGAATGGATAGGAATCCACATATTAGTTATAAGGTGACAATAAGTAGTTTTCAAAACTACAGTCTTCAGAACACATGCACTGACACAAACCTACATTATTCTTGTTATCATTTAATAATGACTTTAATTATCAATGACAGTATGTTGTACAATTTAATATAATCATGCCCAGTTCTTGAAACCATATCACCTGATGCTAAGTTGACTGTTAGTAATCTGGGGTGATTTAAACAATTGTTTTGTATATTTGTCTTGCAGTTTACCTTGGACTGTGAGTTCTTTAATGAAGTTTCAAGAACAGCGCAACTCCCTGTAACCAATCTTTTTACTTTTGGTAAGTTTAATTCATTGCATTTGACAACTATAAATTAATACATATGGATTAATTTTGCTTCTCCCCCTTCCTCTAATAGTGACTTTAAAGCTACAATCCTATATACACCTCTCTGGAAACTGCTCTCACTGAACTCAGTGGAGCTTACTTCTAGATGGATGTAAATAAGATTGTGCTTAAAATTTTTCCCTTTTATTATTTATGTTTTATTAATAAGGAATTTGTGTCTATCTTTATGTTCAATCTAACAGTCAAGATGGCTTACGATAAAAAAATCCAAACTATTTTCATTTTTGTTAATTTTAACTAACAAAACAATAATTTCTGCAGGATTTTCTTCAAGCAAAATCAAACTAAATTCAACTGGCCTTATTCACATTGTTCAACTCCAACATTTTGGTCAGGTAGTAATGATTTCTGAAGTATATATACATTATATGTTTGGGTAGAATCTAATATGGATTAGTTCTGGGAAGGAATACTAATGTAATATGTTATTTTTCTTTAGATATATCAGGCTTTTAAGATCTTTATACAGAGTAACTGCCAGATTCTCAAAGGTAAATTTATTTCCTGAATATCATTTTGAAACTAATGTAGAAAAATGCTTCTTGTTTGTTACTTGCATATTTTGTTGCTTTGTTATCATTTCTTCAATCAGTTTTATAGCTTACCTCCATATATAAAAGTAAACTTAATTCGATGTGAGAAGCTTGTTACCACAGCAAATGTAAGTTTCTTGGCTTGCTCTCTGATGCAGAAAGTTTACACTTCTGTTCTTTCTTGACATATCTTGCATCCAAAACATCCTGTTATGAGTCTGAAACCGGCCAGTCTAATATTTCTGGGAGTTTTGAGCTTGAACCAAGGTGTTTTAAGCTTAAGGTGAAGAGACTTATGGAAGTGGTCAGAAAATCCCATTTCAAATTTGAATATTTCAGATGGAATGTTTCAGGCTCAAAATATTTTGAATTTGAAATGTTTCATGCATTACTACTAAACAGCTTTTGAATGGTTTTCCTCAGGTATACAAGCTAGGATATACTACCAAAAGCTGAATATACTTGCCTTTACTATTTCATAGTTTTCACGATATGCATCTATATCAATCAGTGTGACAAAATTGTGTGACTAGAGTTTTTACTTGGTCATTAGAACTGTCAGTGAGAGCCAGCTTGTAGTAGTGAAGGCTAGAAATCGGGAGATTGTGAGTTCAAGTCCTGCCTTAGGAAGAAAGCCAGCTGAGTGACTTTGGGCCAGTTCTTTCTCTCTCAGCCCTAGGAAGAAGGCAGTGGCAAACCACTTCTGAAAATCTTGCCAAGAAAACTGCAAGGACTAGTCCAGACAGTTGCTAGGAGTCAACACTGACTTGGCACAAAAACAAAACAAAACACAAAACACTATCAGTCATTTAGGACTATGCCCTAAAAGTAGTTTTCATAAATCGACAGCCACTTAAAAACATCAGGAGAAACATCAGTATACTGTATAAGCCAGAATGATTCTATAAAGAGTTCTAAATAAACACTTTTAATAACAGTTTCAGACTAGTAGCATCACAATAAAATTAGTGAGAAATTACTGAGACTAAGTGGTTTTACAGGTCCAATCTGAAGATGTGTACTCCTGGAGCCATACATCAGTCAGTCAGCAGGGAATGCCACAATTAGAGGGTCAACCACTGAGAAAGCTTTGACTCCTTTGCCTATTTCTCTTAGAAGAGGGCTTATCCTCAAGGCCACTGCAGCTGATATTAGAGTCCAGGCAATTCATAGAGAAGAAGGTGATCCTTATGGTTTTGTATATAAAAAATAGTTTTACTAGTATGTTGAATTGAAATCAGAATAAATTGACAACCTGTATAATTGATATAATGTAAGTGATGCATACTCTAACTCCCATGATCCAGCCATATTCTGGATGACCACTATTTGCACTATTTGATATTGCCAAAGCTGTTAAAATTAATATGAGCAAATGAAGCATTATGAATTTTTGTTTGATTTTTTTCTGAAACAGTTTCTTTTAATATTATGGTCAGTGTTTTTCTTCCCAATTATGGTAAGCATCTTTCTGGATTTGTACATCACACTAAGCTATGATATGGGTTGTTTAAATCTGGTTAAGGTGATATATGAATGTAACCTCTTTATTTCTGCAGAACAGGAATTAGATAAGCCAAAAAGATTATATTGTCCAAATATTAATAATCTGCTATGCTTTTTAAACTTGTATTATGAAATATGAAAAGGATAGTTCAGTACAAAACTGAAATAAGTGACCTCTATTCACAGTAGTGTCAAAAGAAAAGGCACTTTGGCAGCTTGGAAAGCATCTGTGTCTTAATGTGTGGCAGTAAATGAATAAAGTGCCAGAAACTAGAGTGAGTACAGCATCCACTTTTATAAACTGGCAACGCTTTTTTGGTAAAATAAAATAAAACAAAATTATTCAGCATATGTACACATGGAGTGAGATAATATGGAAGATAGGCAGTTGACAATCTAACATAACAAAAATTCTGAGACATCTGGATTTTCAACTGAAATTCATAGTAAAAATGGATAACACTGTATGTACTGAAAGGTGGAGGTTCTGTCTCAGTACCTGGAAGCTGTGGGGTTCTGGGCGGGGTGCAGCAGGCTTCAGCTCAACCCTACCAAGACCAAGTGGCTCTGGGCTTTTGAACTTCCTGGTTTCAGGGACCTTCCATCTTTGGTTCTGCCTCAGACAGAACTGGTGTACAATCTGGGGGTCCTCCTCGACTCTTGGCTCCTGCTCAAGGAGCAGATGGCAGCCACGGCTAGGAATGGGCATTTTGCCTATTCTTGGACCAGGAGGCCATCCTCACAGGCCCTCATGCCCCAGGGACCTCCCAGTTGGACTACTGCAATGAGTTTTACATGGGACTACCCGTGAAGAGCATTCAGAAACTTCATCTGGTGCACAATACAGTAGCACAGGCAGTTAGGGGCACCAGTCATTCAGCACATGTAACACCTCTGCTCTGCAAGCTGCATTGGCTGCTAATGTGCTTATGGGTGCAATTCAAGGTGCTGGTAGTCACCTTTGATTAAAGTGACAATTATTTCAGTTTCCGAAATATAATTTTATATCTAGCAGGTAGCATTTGATATTTCCATTTTTAGTATTACTGCAGTGATTTAGTTAGCTTGATCATATTTGCTGCAGCAGTCTCAGGAGTGGATTTCTGCTTGTGCAGTGGGGGATTGGAGATGTTAATAAACTTCCTCAACCCCAAAAGCAGATTTTAAGAACAAATTCCTATTGTTCAAAGCTGCTCTTTTGACAGGAGCTAATTGGGTACTACCCAAAGCCTTATGATTTGAAGTACTTAAAAAAAGTTTCATGTTGTATTTTCATTTGTCCCTTCAGAAAGAAAACCCAGTGTGTATCAACTTCATATCCCATGGTCACATGAAGATTCTTTAACTTTGTCACAGTAAGGATTTCTCATTCCTTCTTTATTTATATTGTTGAAATATACTACGCTGTAAAGGATTTTCATCTGCCAATTCTACAATAGATAGGTATCTGTTACTTCTGATAGATAAGTTTCATGAAAGTTTTAAGTTAAAAATCCGATTTACCCCACACAGTCATCTGGCTAAAGCAATTACTTTAGTAAGGGGAGTCAGGCAGGGCTGCATGCTGGTGCCATTACCTTTTAACTTGTATATAAATGATTTGGTTTACCATCAGAACAGTCCTGACTTTCTTCCCCCAAAGGTGGCTCATAGACTTACCACGGCTTTTGTGTGCTGATAATGTAGTTCTATCCCAGACCTTGGTTGGGATTAAAACAGGCTTTGGGAAAGGCACTGTAGATTCATCAAACTGTATATTGCAGTTTTGATCAGAATTCCAGAGTTCATTTCATTTACTCTCATACAGCAAAATACCCTGGGCATATGGACTCCTTTTATATGCAAACGCTCCTCTCAGACCAGTTGGATTCCACTTCCTTGGATTTGCCAAATTCTGCCACACTGCTATTAAAATTAAGTGGGAGCTGACATCCTCTGATTGCTGTCATTTGTTGACTGAAATAGACTAACTATATCTAACAGCTTTAAATTTAGGATTTTTAGTGATATTAATAATGTATTTCAGAGTTCTGCCATTTAGCTCTGGTTAGGGATATGCAGTCAGGACCAGAAATATTGGAACAAGGATAAACTGTTTTGGCATTTGGACCTCATGAGTTCCAGTGAACAGCTACCAAATGCAAATGTAACACTCAGAACCACCTCCAGGTCTTTTATCTGCTTGATTGGTCACGGGGTACCCAGGAAACAGGCCACACCTGGCCATGCAGCTGCTT